TTATGCTTAATAACCACTTAATTCTATCCAATTATGAATATATTTGTAAAACTAAAGCTAATACAGCAATAATAATACATATATATAAGAATGGTTGATGTTTTTTATGCAAGATATTTCCTTATTTGTATTTCTTTGGTAAGTTTTTTTATAACAAAATGAACAGACTTTCCATCCAAACTTAAAACGTTTAAAAAAAAAATAAAAAAATAAAACGTTTAATAAAAAAAAAAATTTGGATACAAAGTTCTGATTGGCCAATTTGAATTTCATGCGCGAGAGTTTCAGATTTCAAATTCACGCACTATGAAAGTGATAGTTTTCGACCTTCGAACTCCATAGAATCCCAATAAATGAGTTTTAAAAGTCAGTTGATTACTATGGCGGATTTTTAATATAAATGGAAAAGATTGATGAATCGATTTTTAATATCTTCAACAACCTTTTTGTTACACGCTAAAATAATTTTTTTTTAAAAATAAAAATGTCATTATTATCATTAATATCGCCAGAAAGAGTGGGATTTGTATTTAAATTTAATAAAGAAATGCGTATTAATGCTAATATTAATTCTGATAGAAAAAATAGAAAAAATTATTTTTTTTCATTGGTCAAAAAAAACAAGGAGCTTTCTAAAAATGAAAAAGAATTTTGTAAAGAAAGATTTATTTATGACTTTGAATTAGAGAATGCAAGAAGGAAAAAAGGCAAACCAAAAGAATGTAACAAGTGTAAAGCAACAAGATACTCTGATAGATTCTGTGAAAGTTGCATTAGTTTACAATTACAGAGCCTTTTCACCACTTGGACATCTGGAAATACTATAATTAATGATTTTATTCAACAATGTCAAATTAAATCATCTCTACCAAACTATATTTTAGAATGGATACCTTTTGAGCAATTTGAAGATATTACAAAATTAACTGAAGGTGGATTTAGTTCAATTTATATTGCAACATGGACAAAAGGTTATATAACTGATTATGACGAAAATAAACAGGAATTTAGTCATTTTGGTGCTCAATATGTAATTTTAAAGAGTTTAAATAATTCAAGTAATCGAGGAAAAGATTTTGTTGATGAGGTTGGTAATTGTCATTTAAAATAAAAAGTAAACAATATTGTATTATATAATACTAATCAATTTTATATTTAATTACAGGAAATAAATTATTGTAAAATTAAATCACAAATGATTGTTCCTTGTTATGGTATAACTAAATTCCCAGATAATGGAAATTATGCAATACTTTTAAATTATCATCCAGAAGGAAATTTAAGGGGTTATTTGCAAAAAAATCATTTAAAATTAGCATTAAAAGACAGAATTGCAATCTTTATGTATTTTTGTGTTGCATTATATTGGATACATGAGAAAGATTTAATCCATTGTGATTTACATAGTGGTAATATATTATTGCAAGGAGGTGGTTGTTATATTACAGATTTAGGATTATGTGGATCAGTTGATGAAAAATCATCAAGTAAAATATATGGAATTATACCATATATTGCACCTGAGCTACTTAGAGGCAAAATTAACACAAAGAACACAAAAGAAACTGATATTTATAGTGTTGGGATGTTAATGTGGGAGATATTTGCAGGTCATCCACCATTTGATGATAGAGCTCATAATCATTGTTTAATTTTTGATATATGTGAAGGTTTACGACCATCAATACTACCTGGAATGCCTGATGATTATTCACAAATGATGGAGAGGTGTTGGGATGTGGATCCATCAAAAAGACCAACCATTGAAGAACTTCAGAAATTTGCTGAAAATAAACATGAAGGAATTCTTAATAATGAAAATATGAAAAATAATAATAGTAACAATAACAGTTTAATAAAAAAGTTATTCAAATTTTCTAAAATTAATAAGAAAAATTTTGATTTTAATAATGATAACAGCAGCAGCAGCAGCAGCAGCAGCGGTGGTGGTGATGGTGGTAATGATTCGCAACAAATACACAAATCACACCCAGATGCATATCATACAAGTAGAATATTAGATGAAGAAGTTACTAAATCAAAAAGCTTAAAAAGCTATACAAGTAATGATAGTTTAGTAAACAATCTTGATTTAAACTCTCTTCTCTTAAATGTTGGAGGTGAATAAAAATTTCATTATTAATATTATTAATTGAGAAATTACTATCCATTAATTATTATTAACAAATATTTTTTATTCCCATTTAATCAATTAATAAACATTAGATTCTGATAATAATAATAATAAAGGAAAAGGTATTGAAAGAATTGATAAAGTTGATGGATAATTGTAATAATAATGTTTTGAAATAATAAAAACTTTTTTTCATTTTTTAATTATAAATTTTGATTGTTGTTCGTAACTCGGCATTTACATGTAAAGCATACCCGAGAACTTTCTTTAGAGTGTTAGTATATTAATTAATACCGTATTGTCTGGAATATAAGCAACACAATTTTAACATGTTCTAGTCAACAAAAACTATAGGTGGTGCTTATATTCGAGACATTTTGTTTATGTCTCCTTATCATTTGTGTTAAGTTCTAATTCATTTTTTCCCACAGCAATGCCAAAAGTCAAACGTTCTTCATATTCTGTTGCTGAAAAGCGCCAAGTCTTGTAATATGCAAAATAATATGGTATAAGACAACTGGCGTCATTTTACTATTGATCATTCAATGATTTCTCGTTGGCAAAAAAAAAAAGACGAATTGGTAATAGTTTAGGAATAAAAGCAAAATATCCTGAGGCTAAAGCTGACTTAAAGGTATGGATTGTTGAATTAGAAGGGGAAGAGTCCTGTGATTCTGGAAAAGGATAGTCAAAAATTTTCTTATTTTTTTATAAAAAATAAGAGGTCAAATAAAAATGTTTCTGAAATATAGGTGTTGCTTATATTTATTTTTCTGTTTTTCTGTTTTTCTGTTGCAAATTCGTACTGTTGCTTATATTCGAGTGTTGCTTATATCCCAGACAATACAGTATATCACTAACTCAAATCCACCGTCAGCAAAATTATTCCCGCAATTCTACTCGCAGGTGGCGCAATGAAAGTCACCACTCCTTGAGGTCCTAAACCATTCACTGGTGATCTCCCCCAAGTTTAAAATTAACTTGCTTCTTGAAATAATTTTGGTTTGAAAAAAAAGATAGTTCAATAATACATATTTCTCTTTTTCAAATGTCCGTAATGTATATACTACTGCTAATACTAGATTACGAATTAATCTTCTTGAAAATCATTTAACTTGAAGAAAAAATTAGTTCAATAATATATATATCTTTCCCAAACTCTCGAAATGGTATACTGCTGCTATTAAACACGTAATTTGCCGAATTATTAAAAAAGCGACTTTAAGTTATGAATAGCATGATTTATATTAAACCTGCTGTTAAATTGATAACTTCCGCTATCCATTATTTATTACACCGTAAAAGTCTGTATTGATTACATTTTTTAATAGTGATGTTGGTCGGCTATGAAATTTATTGGCTTAGCCGGCCAAGGAATTTTAAACAGCTTAGCCGGCTAAAAAAAGTTTATCTTAACATTCATTTTTACGTGTGGAATTTTAGTGTAGAATTCAATGGCATGGACATTTAGTTTGTTCTATTCAAATTATTCTTCTATTTGTATTATTCGTTTTATTTAAATAAAACTTTCAATGTAATTCGAATATTCAAATTCATAACGAATAAAACAAATAATTTGAATCATTAAAAGGCGAGATATTATAATAACAATAACGGTAGTAATAATAATACCGGCAAGCTTAGTACCATCTGAAAAGGTTTTTCATCAACTGGGATTTATTAAGTTCTTAGCCGGCTAAGGTTTTTCTGTCGGCTAACATCACTATTTTTTAATAGCAATTTCTTCATACTAAAATATTTTTATTACGCGGATCACGAATTTAGTAGTTGCACCAAGGGCGCTTGAATTCGTTTATTTAGAATTAATAGGTTTGCTAATACCTATAAAGGTTTACCAACTTTGGGTTTTTCAATTAACCACCTTGGCTCCAGGTTAGAATAATAAAGATAGATGCATATATAATATATAGATGTCACCTAGCTAGAAGCTAGGTATTGAAAAAACAATGTTCAATCTAATCAATCAGGTGAATTGGTTGGTAGTGAAGAAGCCGAACATTTTTAAACAAATCAAAAAGCAAATCCTTAAAAAAAAAATGAAAATCAATGAAATAATATTAAAATATCCCTTCTCCTTGTAGTCTCCTAAAGCATCATTACAATCTGTTTTTATATTATGTAAAATTTACCAATCAGGAATAAAAAAACTTTGGGGTGCATTTCATTTATTGGACTTTTGTCATCCATATAATAATGAACTGTTAGTCCTCAATTTTGCTATCCTTTCTTTCCTTTTTTTTTACTCGATCACTCGTTACTCTGTCACTCGTTTGAGAAAAAATTATTTAATTCAAAAAACTAAACATTATAAGCAAAAATCTTTTTATTTTCATTATATTAATCAAAGAATAAATAAATTACTACAAGTATTAATAATAACATTGATAACGTCAACCACCATCAGTATCCAATAAGGTTAATATCATTAGCGATAAATAATATTATACAAGATCTTTTAAAATTATCCTATTATTTGCGTGCGAATAACGTGAATTTACCTATTATCATAGAAAAAAAATTTTAACAAAAATAAATAATTAGTTTTTTGAATAATCTTTCACAAACAGTTTTAGAAAGTTTGGGTAATATTTTTTATCACCAATTCTTTAGTTGGTTTAGTATTATCTCCCAAAAATATTTTTTCAAACTGTACTAATGTTAAATTCTTGTTTTGATGTGCTGAAACTGACTCGATAATCTTTTTTGCTACATATGAATAATCTGTTTCCACAACTTGATGATTTATAAGCTCTCGGCAATTATTGCACGTTTGTTAGCATTCTGCTGGATTGAAGTTTTCTGCAAAATAACCTAACAAGTTTGACTTTAAGAGTTGTAGTTGCAGTTAAAGCGATAATAGGTATATCGTTATATTTTTTTTTAGATTGCACAACTCTTTATAATCTGGTCTAAAATTACGACCCCATTGACTAACACAATGAGCCTCATCAATGTTGAATCTTGCCAATTGTTGTCTATCGTACAACCTTTTTATTGCAGTACTTCTATTTAACATCTCAGGAGTTAAATAAAAAATTTTACAACTTGGTATATATTTTTCAAGTTCAGTAAATACATTTTGTCTTTGATTAGCTTCTTGTTCACCATACAAACATAAGGTCGATATATCATGCCTGTTCAAATTATAAACTTGATCTATAATTAGCGAAAGCAATGGGGAAATTACAATCGTTGTCCCTTTTGTTTTTCCAGTTTCCACCATTGCGGGCAACTGGTAACATATACTTTTCCCTCTGCCAGTTGGCATCAGCACAAAGATGTCTTTTCCATTAAGTGTTTTGTTAATGGCTTCCAACTGGTTCCTTCTAAACCTTTCTAATCCGAATATATTATGCAAAACATTTTCAACTTCTGTTGACCATTCATAATTATAAGTGGTTCGCAAAAAAAAAACAAGATGATGTTAATGTTGACTGTTCTGGTGGTGAATAAAAAGATGACGAAACTGATAGTTCTGGCTCTGGTGGTGAGTAGGATGATGATGGTGCTGGCGAGGAAAAAAAACAAGAAGACATTGATATGGATGGCTCTGGTAAATAAGGAGATGAAATTGATGGTATCAGCAATGGTGGTGCTGGTGAGGAAAAAGAACAAGAAAATTTTGATACTGATGGTGATGATGATGATGATTGATGATTAGCATCAATTTTATCAATATTTTCCTAAATAGTTGCCAATATTTTTTAATGCTAATGATAAATGAATGTCTCATGAATTAAAATATATTAATATATTAATTGAATTGAAGATACCTTTCATTTTCCAACTCTAATAATATCTTTGAATTTTTTAAATTATTCTTGTCATAAATTAATTTCAATAAATCTCTTGTTATTGAATAGTATTCTCTATATGTTGCTAGGATTGTTTTTTCAGGTACATTTATACTCATTTCTTAATAATAGATTAAATAAATATATTATTATAAAAATTAAAATTTGTAAAACATGTTACTGTGCAAATCCTTTCAGTGAAATTATAGATATTATCATTATTAAATTTTATTATTAAATTTAAATAATAAGTTATACTTGAAAGAATCAAAAAGATTTTATTTTTCTATCGAGGTTGTTGGTATATCATCAAAATCATAATCATAACCAATAATATTGTTGTTATTTACATTCATTCCTTTTACATTTCCATTCGCATAATTATTGCCATTATTACAAAGATTATCTTCTTGAATAGAATTAAGTTCATACTCCTTTAAACAAGCATCATCAAGATATTAATTATTTTATCTCTTTCTTGGATAGAAACACATTCATACTTTTCAAACACTCTTCATCAAAAAGATTAAAATGGTGTAAAAATCCGACTCTTTACGAGCTTTCCTTTTTATTTGTTGCTTATAAAATCAATCTGGATGCTCTTCTGTGTTTGTTTGGATCATTTTGAAAAAAAAATATTAATTATAATGTTTAAGTAATGATCGGCATAATCCACTTTTATATAGACCGGGAATGTGATCGCAACCAATAATATTAATAAGGGACATGTCCTAAATAAATAACTGGTACTATTATATGGGGCACTCTGCAATAAAAACCAGAAAAAGATGAACATTGGTATTACCAAAGCTTTCAGGGACCAAAATTTAATTATCATCACAATTATAATGTGATCAGTTTTATCTCTTAAACGATCAAAGTATCTTTAATGGTAATGTTGTATATACGTGAAAATCAAATTTGTGTCAATTTGAAATTTACCAATTAAATTTTGGGGTGGATGTTGAATACAAAATTCTGATTGGCTAATTTGAATTTCACGCGTGAATTTCAAATTGACGCAGAAACATAAAATAATTTCACCTTGTCAATTTAATGATCTGCAAAGTAAAAATAGTCAATCGACCAACTTTTAAGGAAGATTTTACGAAAACTACAAGGACAACAACCGAATTTTTATTCACAGGTCAATCAGCTGAATTCCAAAGATCATTTTCATATTAGGAAGTGATACCTTCAGAAAAAGTTTTTTATAACAGAAAAAAATTTCAACTATCAATAACCAAGAAACCGTTTAAAGGATAATATCACATTTGTTATCTTAAATGATATATAGAACTACTCCCATATAAAAATAATAATAATATGAAGTTAATTTAAATTAGGTCTACCATGGAACCCAAGAATTATAGTATCATTCGAAGAAAGAACAAGGTGAAAAAATTACTCCTTACATTTTTAAAATAAATGATACTTAGACACTCAAAGCTTATCTAAAAAAAGAAAATATTACCTATGAAATTTACCAAAAAGAAAGAAAAATAATAAAAATTAAGAAAAGAAAGCAAAATGAAAGTGTACTATTACCCAACAAAAAGCAAAAATCCTTAGTAGGAAAATAATCTTGTTACAATATTGATTTATTTTTTTTAATCTTTTAGCAAAATAATAAATAGTAATAAATATAATACCAGATGCTAAGGTTATAACTACTATTCATCATAACCAAATAGAATTGTTTTTACATTCTGCTATCTTGATAAAATCTTCATTTTTTTAATTGCTAACACTGGTTCTAGGTGATAGATGTTGGGAGACTGGAGGTATCTACTACAAGCAAGTCTGATAATACATAAAAGCTGTTAGGAATAAGTTCACTAGTTCTCTCAATTGAAAAGGGGATGGTCATCAATATTAATACACACACATCAGATTCCAAATACCATCACATTCTTTGAAGTTTTTTTATTTTTTCAAGTTTGGATGCAAACAACCAGTTTACCTAATTTTAGAAAACTTTATGGTAAAAACGAAGTGGGATTCATTGAAAGTTGGATCCTGTGAAGTCATAATTGAATATAGCAAGAATTTATTTACAAACATTTTTTTTTTTAAAAAAAAAGAATTTCCAGTTACTAAACATGGTGGAACAAAATCATTTGTAATTTCTACAGTATCATTTCTCAGTGGCAAAAACCCTTTCTTGGGATTTGCATATATTAGAATCGGAGTTCTACTTGGATGTATATTTACCATTATACATTCGTACAACCAAAGTAATAAAATCATCATCATCATTATGATAAATCTCATTTCATCATCAAGTTAATTTATCATGACTTTATTTTTTATAGAAAACTGGTGTCATTCTTATTTGTCATGGAATATAGTAATAATAATAAGTAAAAAAGTTACAGACGTCATCAAGTTATGATGATAAAGAATTTTCTAAATAAATTAATCCGTTATACAAATAATAAAAATAAAACGTATTACAAAAGTAGATGTAACACGAATAAAATTAATAAAATAAGATTATACAAAAATAGAAATAAATAAAATAGAATAATAAAAATTAAAAATTTCGGAATTAGTTAATTTCAGCCGGAAGAGCATCCAAATTTAATTCCGGTAACAATTGATTTTGTGGTATCTCTAGATTCTAAAACAAATTTTGAAAAGCATGATTATATAATACTACAGGAGGTCCAATATTTGTTGTATCAGATATGGTTTTGTGTAATCTTTTTTATACAATCACTAATCCCTTTTACAGTTGCTACTAATGATGATGCCTTTGTTGATGGTTTGTTCATTTGTTTAATAAAATTTTCATTTTCATCAACATAATCACTGATAGTCAGGGTTGGCAAATGTGCAGTCCATTGATGGTCTATTGGTGGTCCATTAGCATAACACTTTAACCATATTTAGTGTTTTATTAATGGCAATGGGCCAGTCCAAAAGTCCATCAGTTCTAGTCAATTTGCCAACCCTGCTGATTTTTCACTTTTTTATTTTTTTTTTTCTTCTTGAAATATATAGCAAATCAGTAGAAAATAATGAAAATAAAATTAGTAATGTTGAAAGACAGAATAAAAGACAAACTTTAAAAAATACAATATTTATTGTAAAATCAATCTACCTAATAATCCAGGTAAAATAGGTGAAAGATGTCATGTAGATGAATAACATCACAAGTTTAATTTAAAAATAATGGACTGATAGAAAAAAATAAAATAAAATAAAAAGCTTAGTTCAGTTAGTATATAAATTCTCTTAATACATAAATAGATAAGTGAGGTGGAATAAACAAAAAATAAACTGACATTTATGTCACAAGATCTTTACCTTCTGATTCTTTTATTCGTTTTTTTAATTTTGTGATCTCATTTATTCTTTCTTTCTGGTATGCAAACAAAACCAATTTTATGTTGAATTAATAATATTCACAATATTAACCATTATTGAACATTGACATCAATTTATATAACAATACCTCTTCATTATCATTTAATTCTTTAAGTGGTCTAAAAAATTATAAAGAATTCAAAGTTTAGTCTCCAAATATATAATAATTATGTTTCAAATTATTTTTAATGACTAACTAAAGTGACAAAGAGTGGCAACAATCATCACCACCATTCTTTTAAAAACACTCACTCATTTTGTTCTTTATTTTTCTTGACTTTGTTTTCTTTTTTCTTTTGGCATTGCTTTTTTAAAAAAACTAGAGTGGCAACAACCACCATTCTTATGATAACACTTACTCTCTTTCAACCAATTCATTTTGTTTTCTTCTTTGACATTTTTTTTTAAAAAAGGAATTGTTATTTGATCTATTTGATCGACAAATATGTACACATAACACTCAGGGTTTTTATCATAGATGGAAATTGATTCTAGAATGATCTGCATAATTTTAATTGGTTCCGCCAATTCATTCCCGATTTTTTAAATTATTAATATTAATAAGAATTTTTGTAAAAAAGTTACAAGATTTTCCTCTTTAGCTCTCATTTACTTTTAGGAATATGGGTGATTAATTCAAGCTCTTTGGTGATTATTAAAATGTGAGTATTTATTTATTTATATTTAGAATATGGTTTAAAATTACAAACAGAATTTTTCTGTAAAGTCACATGAAACATGAAGTTTTTTACAAACTATAAGAGGAATAGATAGTATAAAGCTTCCAATTTCAGATTAACTATTAACTAAGGTCCTCAGTAACTTCTGGATCTCAAATATATTAGTTTGATTAACTTTAAAAAAGAGTACCATATTCTCTGGAATATAAGCACCACCATTTTGACACATTTTGGTCAACAAAACTGTGGGCGGTGCTTATATTCAAGACATTTTATTTCAGATAATTTGTGTTACATTTATATGGATGCCACCGCCAATTAGCCACGGAGTGTAATTAGTTTTCGCTTGGACTTGTTGCTGTTTTCAATCGCTTTCTTCCAATATCAACTTTTTATTGTTTTTTTTTGCCTTTACTTTGGAGGTATCTTTTGATTAGAAGAGGAGTCTGGTGATTCTGGAAAAGAATAGTCAAAATAAAAAAATTTCTTATTTTTTATTTATTATACAAAAATAAAATCAAATAAAAAATAATTTGAAATATATGTGGTGCTTATATTTTACTTTCTATTTTTTTTTGTTTTTTCATTGCAAATTCATACTGGTGCTTATATTTCAGAGAATACAGTAAGTTTTTGTTAACTAATTTTTATTAATAGTAACATAAGAATATATAGAATAAAACTTATAGA